TTAACAGGACATTATAAGAAAGAAAAATTATAGGCCAATTTTATTCAGAAAAGTCATGCAAAAATACCCTAAACAAAGTATTAATACAGTAAATCTAACAATATTAAAAGAAAAATACATTGCAACCAGTTGGTATTTGGTTCAGAAATGAAAGGTTAAGGTTCACATTCAAAAATCAATAAATAGGTGTTATAACCATTTCTTAAATTAATCAGTATACTTCACCACATTGATGACATAAAGGATAACTCATGTGATTGTCTCAATAATACAGAAAAAAATAATAAATAAAATCCAACATCCATCCATGATAGAAATTCTTAGTAAACTATAAGTAAAAGGGAGTCTTCCTAAGCAAGCAAAACTCATCTTTAAAAAAAAATCTAGGGGTGCCTAGGTGGCTCAGTCATTAAGCGTCTGCCTTCAGCTCAGGTCATGATCCCAGGGTCCTGGGATCAAGCCCCACATCCTGCTCCTGGCTCATCAGGGAGCCTGCTTCTCCCTCTGCCTCTCCCCCTGCTCATGCTCTCTCTCTCTATCTCTGTGTCTCGAATGAATAAATAAAATCTTTAAAAAAATTAAAAATAAATAAATAAAAATTTTTAAAATTAAAAAAAAAATCTACTGGGGCACGTGGGGGGCTCAGTCAGTTAAGTGTCTGCCTTCAGCTCGGGTCATGATCCCAGCGTCCTGGGATTGAGTCCCGCATGGGGCTCATTGCTCAACGGGGAGCCTGCTTCTCCCTCTGCCTGCCGCTCTCCCTGCTTGTGTGCACTCTCGCTCTCTCTCTCTCTGATAAATAAATAAAATCTTTAAAGAAAAATCTATCAATAACTTATGTCCACACAAAACCTGCCCACAAATGTTTACAGTAGTTTTATTTATATTTACCAAAAACTGAAAGCAACCAAGATATCCCCCAATAAATGAAAGGATAAACAAACTGTGGTACATATATACAATAGAATATTATTCAGTGATGAAAAAAATGAGCTATCAAGCCACCAAAAGACATGGAGAAACCTTAAACACATATTGCTAAGTGAAAAAAGCCAGTCTGAGGTGCGCCTGGGTGGCTCAGTTGACTAAGCCTCTGTCTTTGGCTCAGGCAATGATCTCAGCGTCCTGGGATCAAGCCCCTCATCAGGCTCCCTGCTCAGCAGCGAGTCTGCTTCTCTCTTTCCCTCTGCCCCTCTCCCCACTCGTTCTTTCTCTCTCAAATAAATAAATAAATAATGTTTTAAAAAAAAGGGGGGGGCCAGTCTGAAAAAGCTACATAGTCTAGGAGTCCAATTATATGACATCTTGGAAAAGGAAAAACTATATTGACAGTAAAAAGATTACTAGTTGCCAGGTGTTGAGGGAGGTGGGGAGGGAAGAATAGGTGGAACATGGTATTTTTAGGGCAGGGAAACTATTCTTTATGGTACTATATATAATGATGGATACATGACCTTATGCATTTGTCAAAACCCATGGAATTGTACAACACAAAGAGTGAAACCTAATGTAAATCATGGACTTTAGTTAGTAATAATATATAAATATTGGTTCATCAACTGTACAAATATACCACACCAAGGCACGATATTAATAATAGGGAAACCTGGGGAGATAAGGGGGAGGGGAATATACATGGGAGTTCTCTGTATGTTCTGCTTGATTTTTCTTTCAACTTAAAACTTCTCTAAAAAACAAAGTCTACTAGTTTGTTTGTTTTTTGTTTGTTTAAATCTATATCAAATAGCATACTTAATAGTAACATGTTGAAAACTTTTCCTCTCAGATTAGGTACCAGATAAGGATGTCAACCATCACTACTTACACTCAACACTGAACTGGAGATCCAGTGAAGTAAGGCAAGAAAAAGAAAACCAATAACTAGTTTGGAAAGGAAGAAAAGAAAACCATCATTACTTGCATAAGATATGATTGTAGATGTACAAAATCTAAAGAATCTATAAATTTTTAGAATTACTGAATTACTGTATTCATTACTGAATACAAGATCAATAAACAAAAATCAATCATATTGCCATACAGCAGTATTAACATAAATGAAAGAGAAAGTAAATAACATTTAAATTAATATAAAATAATATCAAGGGGCACCTGGGTAGCTCAGTCATTTAAGCATCTGCCTTCAGCTCAGGTCATGATCTCGGGGTCCTGGGATCGAGCACTATGTCGGGCTCCTTGCTCAGTGGGGAGTCTGCTTCTCCTTCTCCCTCTCCCACTGTCTCTGCCCCCACTCATGCTGTCTCTCTCTCTCTCAAATAAATAAATCTTTAAAAAAAAAATAATATCAAATACCTGGGGCACCTGAGCGGCTGAGTCAGTTAAGTGTCCAATTCTTGATCTCAGCTCAGGTCATGATCTCAGGGTCATGGGTCGTGAGACTGAGCCCTGTGTTGCACTCTGCGCTCAGTGCAGAATCTGCTTAAAACTCTTTCTCCCTCTGCCCCTCCCCAACCCATGCTCTCTCTCTCTCTCTCTCAAAAAAAAAAAAAAAATATATGTATATATATATTCTTACATATAAATAAAATACCTAGAAGTAAATCTAATAATTTAATAATCTTTTTTATAATCCAAAAGGTGTATAAAATGTGTACCCAGACAGCTATAAAACACTTTAAAGAAATGATAAATGGAAAGATATATTGTGTTCATGTACTGGAAGAATCAACATCGTGTAAAGATGTTAATCTTCCCTCAAATTAATATGTAGATTCAGTGCAAATGCAATTAAAATCTAACAGGTTTTTTGTTTTTATTTTTGTGTGTGTGTAAAAACTTACAAGCTGATTCTAAAATTTATTCCAAAATGTAGAGGGCCAGGGAATGGCCATGACACTTATTATAGAAGAAAAAATTAGGAGGACCTGATCTGCCAAACATCAAGATTTTTTAATACTGTGACAGTAGTCAGAACAATGGGATACTGGCACAAGAAGACATAAGGAGACCAATGGAACAGAATATAGAGTCCAGAAACAGAACAATACACATATATGGGTACTTAATTTTCAGAATTAAAAATTCTTCTAGAGGTAATACGGGACAATATTTTCATGACCTTATGATGGGAAGATGTCTGAAACAGGATGTACAATGTATTACTCATAAAGAAAAAAACTGATCTGTTGGAACATGCTTATTCATCAAATGCACCACTAAGATAATTTGATAAAGGTATCTACAAAAATACTTACAGCAATTTCATACTTAATGGTGGATTATTAAACATTTTCTAAATGAGATGGGGAAAATTATTACTGCTATCATCACTTCTTTTCAATTTGAGGTCCTAACTAGTATAATAAGGCAAGAAAAAGAAATAAAAGGTATATAAGTACTGGAAAGAAATGAAACTGTCACTATTTCAGATAACATGATTATATACATAGAAAATTGAAAACAACCTAGAGTTCAACTATTTAAACCCTAATAAGTGAATTTAGCAAGGTCTCTAAATATGACATAAATATACAAAATTAATTGCATTTCTATATACCAGCAAAAACAGAAAATGAAAGTTTAAAAGATACAATTTACAATAGTTTCAAAACACATTTAATGCCTAGGGATAAGTTTAACAAAAGCTATGTAATATCCTGACACTGAAAACTATAGACATTACTGAGGGAAACTTCAAAAGACTCAAATGAATGGAAAGATATTCCATGTCCATGGATTGAAGACTTAATATTTCTTTTCTTTTTCAAGATTTTATTTATTTATTTGAGAGAGAGAGAATGAGAGAGAGCGAGCACGAGAAGGAAGAGGGTCAGAGGGAGAAGCAGACTCCCTGCTGAGCAGGGAGCCCGATGTGGGACTCGATCCCGGGACTCCAGGATCATGACCTGAGCTGAAGGCAGTCGCTTAACCAACTGAGCCACCCAGGCGCCCGAAGACTTAATATTTCTTACTGTAGTAAAGATATCAATTATCTCCAAATTGATCTATAGTTGCAACATGATCTCAATCAGGTTTTTTTTTAATTTGCAAAACTGACAAGTTGATTCTAAAATTTATGGAAATGCAAAAAGGCCAAGAGAAACCCAGGCAATTTTTCAAAAAGATTTACTTATTCATTTTAGAGAGAGAGAGAGTGCATGCAAGTGGGGGTAGGGACAGAAGGAGAGAATCTTCAAGCGGGCTCTCATGGAGCCTGATGAAGGGCTAGATCCAACAACCCATGAGATCATGACTCCAGCCGAAACCAAGAGTCAGATGCTTAATGGAATGAGCCACCCAGGTGCCCCAAACCCAGGCAATCTTAAAAAAGAAGAGGGCTAATGGACTTACACTGCAGATATCAAGACCTATCATACAGCTATAATAATATAGGTCAGCTTTGTAAGTATAAGTAACTTTAAAATTAACGTTTTAAAAAGATTTAAAAATAAAACTACAAGGGCACCTGGGTGACTCAGTTAAGCAACCAACTCTTGATCTCAGCTCAGGTCTTGATCTCAGGGTCATGAGTTCAAGCCCCGCGTTAGCTCCACACTGGGCATGGAGCCTACTTTTTAAAAAACGTTTTTTTTAAAAATAAATATAAACAAAACTACAGCTCAAAACAATTTATATTACATAATACAAAGGAAAAATTTTACCTTGGATTCAGTATCAGGAAAATGATATGAACTGGAACACTTCCTTTTATTAGAGAATTCCAGCTAGATGAACTGGAACACTTTCTTTTATTAGAGAATTAAGATATTATAGTCCATTTTGCTATCCTTTCCAGGAAACTTAAGAATGTGTAATAAAGAACTAATCACAAGTGCTCCAAAACACATCTCTTGGTTTTCTTTAATATGCTTTTTATTTATTAGGTATTAAGTAAGTACTTCAAATTATTTTTAAGTATTAAAATAAGTAAATGACAAAGCTGGGTCTTCAAAACCATTCTCCTTCCTTATCTGCCAAAGAAGCAAGAGAAACAGCTAATTCCAAAGCCAATCAGAACCTGACAAATTAGAGATGTTTACCTGATCAAGCCCTTCCCCAGCTTTCCTCAGATCCTGTAGTTGGTAAACTTCCAGGCTTCTTCCATCATCTTGACAGCACAAATCAATTACAACACAGCCCTGGTCTTCAAAGGCATTGATTTGATGAAAAGTAACAAAAGGTTTACTGTAGTACATTCCTGGAAGAAGCTGCAGGGGAAAATACAAACAATGAAAGAGAGATATTTTGTTTTTTCATTTTTTTTTTCTTTAGGGGACAGACCCACAAAGTTTAAATTAAAAAGATTCCCTCCCTTTAAATGACAGGCCTAGTAAGTGTAAAAAGAAGAATTTGGAATGTAGAAGCAAACACTTTGATTTAAGCATCCTTCTTTAAGCCGTCACATCTCATATTAAATAATGAATTCTGGAGCTATCTAATATAAACCAATGAATGATTACAACGAACTTAAAAGTCCTGATGAAATATGGCCCAGTGTTTTGAGGGATAAATAAATCCTGGATTCTATCTTACATGATTAAATAGAAAATACTGCTATTAAGTAGCTTATGACGAACTCTTTGAAAATGCACTCATTACCAAAAATAGGATTTTTCTGGTAATGAAATTAGGGTAGAGTAAATTTATGATATTATCTCTTTAAAGAGACTAAAAGAAGACAAATATAATAGTACTACTAATCAGGAGTATAGAAAGATATTTAACTAACACATGCACCTTGGACTTTGGTAGGATTATCATATTTACCTATCAAGAAGTCACAGGAGCAAGCAATTAAAGTAAGTGCAAAAGTTCCAAGACCTCTGCATGAACAACATTCTCTTTAGCAAATATCATGATATGGAAAAATCCATGCTTAGATGCTAAGAAGATTTCCTAGATGCCATTTTAGTTAAGTCAGATAATTAAAAGTGTAAAACCAACAATTTTCTAATATGCAAAATCCACTGTATTAACTAATAAGTGAGCTAGCCCTACCTACGGAAGGAGGTAATATCCTTGATTAAGAGAGTCTTATGCAAGCAATGCCCAGGGAAAGTAAAAATCAACCACAGGAAAATGTGTCTTTGTGTCCAATCATTTTCATGATGAATATACTCAAAATACTCCACCTGCCCAGTGTGCTTATCGACCACATGAAACCGTGTATTATACTGGGGTTCCCAGCTTATTCCACTTGAAAAGGCCTTTCCTCGAATTCTAGAAGTGACAATTTTCCACAAATTCATCTTTAGAGGCTGTTCAATGAAGATTATATAGTTCCTCGTCATTCCTAAAAGGTTCCAGCAAATAATAAAATGTTATTTGGCAAATTACAGTTGTCTGAAATGTGACAGTTACAGGGACTTATCTGAATGCCTGGACATAGTACTGCTGACCTAAGCAAAAGCCAGCCAGAAATAATCCTTCACTATTTCCCAGCTTTGTTTTACATATTTCCTGTTCCTACATAAAAAAGGAAACTGCTTAGAATAGCTTGGGTTGAATGCCCTCAGCTTGCTTTTTATCTTTCTTATTTTTCTTTTCAAATTGTTTGTTTTAGGAACAAAGTAAAGAAGCATAATATTAAAGTGTCATTTGTGATCGAGATGTTTATTCTGTAATCCATTTGCTATTTATACTGAAGGTAAGGATTCAGGAGTAGATTGGCCATAACAGTTTAGAACGTAGAATATAAATATTCTGAGAAAGAGCTGAAGCAATCAAACAGAATATAAATTTCCCCCAGGAAATATAGTCAAGATCTTTTCATGTATGATTATTACCTGTGGCTTAAAGTTACCTAAAATTTTGAATTCTGTCAATTTTTTTATGGTCAAATGATTTTTTTTTTATTAAGACTTTACTTTTTTTAGAGCAGTTTCAGTTTTATAACAAAATTAAAGGGAAGGTACAGAGACTTGTCATACATCCTCTGTCCCCACATATGCATAGCCTCCCTTTTATCCACACCTCCCACTAGAGTGGTCGGTACATTTGCTATACCTGATGAACTTCCACAGACACATCAGAGCACTCAAAGTCCATAACTGACCTTATGGTTCACTTTTGATGTTGTCAATTTTTAAGTAATTGCTAGTACTAAAATAAATACGTCTTTTTAAGCAGTCATTTGGCCAGGGTAAGAAGTATGTGACTGAATAGAAGAAACTTAACTGGCATTAAAATGCAACCTTGGTCTCATTATCAGCATCCTTTGATAAACTTATCAACACAGTATTTGCCCAAACTAGTTCCTCTGCTACAGCGACATTAAGGCAGATGCCATTGCAATTTACTTTACGTCTGGGCTTACCAAAGCTATGATAGTAAGAAGGTTTCATCCTCTCTGCAGAGGCAATAGAACATATCACCTGGGCTCCGTGGATTGTCTCCCCAAGATCCACCTTCTCTGGAGGAACCCGAATAATATTATAGCAAGAACCTGGAAAACAAAGTCCTGTCTTATTTTACACACATTCTAGAATAAAAGATAACCCTCACACTCATGGACTACACAAAAGCAGTTAAGAGATTTATACAATATATGCCTGACATCCATATTTCATAAAGGGTTATTTCAAGCAAAGACTTGGATGAAAAAAAATATTAACTGGGACGCCTGGGTGGCTCGGTCGTTAAGCGTCTGCCTTCGGCTCAGGTCATGATCCCAGGGTCCTGGGATCGAGCCCCACATCGGGCTCCCTACTCCGCGGGAAGCCTGCTTCTCCCTCTCCCACTCCCCCTGCTTGTGTTCCCTCTCTCACTGTGTCTCTCTCTGTCAAATAAATAAATAAAATCTAAAAAAAAAAAGTTAACTTCATGAAAGTCATATTAGGTAAGATTTTAAAGCAATACACACAAAGTAATCAACCAACAGTTTATCGCATTTTTTTCATGATTAATAGCTAAGTTTATTGCATTTTAATGCTCCCAAAAGTTTACCCTCTCACTTCCTGAAGATGAACTCATTCTCTATAGGAAGAGATTAGGTACCAGCCAGGATCATCTTCAAATTCCATCTGTCCCTCTCCCGACTCCCCAGTCCCTACAACTACAGTCTCCATTTGCCCCCACACCCACTTCTCTCCAGTCCTCTGGATCCCTGGGGTCTCTCTGAGTCCTATCTCATCCTTTCTCATCAATGCATTCATGCAATCACCTTCATTCATGTAATCATTCATCTTACTGCTTCGTCAAGAATCAGCTCAGGTAACCACTCCTCAAGTAGCACTCCCTGACTCTTCCCCACCCCAAAGGTATTTGGTGCCCCTCCTCTATGCCCTGATTATATCCCATACACTCACAGCACTTGTCTTACTGAACTATAATTTTGTGCTTGTTTATCTGCTTCCCAGTATACTGGTGAGTTCTTCAAGGGCAGGAATTGTGTCTGATTCATCTTTGCATCCTCAGTACCAAGCAAGGACTTAGAATTCAATAAGCACAGTACAAATAGCTATTGACAGATTAATTAACAACATATGTTTTTTAAATCATTCAGTGAATAAACGTATACTGAGGTCATCTCAAATTATATTTCTGGTATTAAAATTGCCAATGCTGGTCCTGAAAAACTGGACCAGTAACTTGCAGAATTTTGCAATCACTGAGCTTCTTTTGGAACAAGATCACCATACAGTTAGTTCTCCATTCATTTGTTCAGCAATTACTTATTGAGCGCCAACTATATTCCAGGCACTCTTCTGAGTGTCCTTAAGTATATCTTCCGGACACTTGTATACAGTAGTGTGCAAATATACAAGAGGCTCTTCTTTGATAAAGCTCAAATAAAGCATTCACAGGTAAAAATATAAAGCATGAGATGATGAAAAGATCTACAAAGAAAAATAAAACAGGGAACGGGGATCAAGAGTAAGTGTATATAGATGGAGGCCACTGTTTGCAATTTTCGAGATGGTGATCAGAGAAGGCTTCACTAAGAAGGTGACCTTTGAGTAAAGACCTGAAGGAGGTGTGGAAGAGAGCCTTGAGGACACCTGAGAGAATCACGCTCCAGGCAGAGAGAAGAGTAAATGATTCTCAGCCAAGAGTAAGTCTGGAGTGTTCAAATAACAGTGAGGAGGCCAGTGTGGCCCTGTTATAGTAAACAAGGAGATGAGGTGGGTGGGCTAAAACGATAACTGGCTGATATGCTGAGCACGCGCTGACGTGGGACAGAAGCACAGAGATCCATCAAGGAGCTATTACAATAATTCACGTGAGAGAGGATGGTGGGCTCAAACCAGAGTGCTGGCAGGGGAGGTCATATGAAGTGGTTGATTTTTTATTTATTTTGAAGGCACTTGCTGCAATTGCTTTTTGACCAATTGGATACGGATGTGAGAAAGACAGGTGGGAAGGATGATTCCAAAATTATCATCCTGAGGAACGTGAAAGATGAAGGATCAACTGAGATGGGGAATATTTTAAGCAGAAAAAATCTAGGGGAAAATTTCAGGAGTTTGGTTTTCAGATAAATTAATTTTGTAATGCCTATTAGACATCCTCGTAAAAACATTGAGTAAGCAACTGGATATAAAATACTGGAGAGGTCTGAGTTGGGGATATACATGTGTTCTGAGCACCCATGATATATAAACAGTGATGAGTTACAAAAGCGATAAAAGACAAGTTCTACAGTTCAAGAGTATCATATAACCATCTAACCGATTACATATATTTAATTAGTACTAAAAGCTACCTGGATTGATTAATGTTTAGAGGATTTTTGTTCCTTTTTAAAAGTCTTTTAAAAAATATATGGAAAGGCTAAAACAATTAAAAGCTTTTTACTTCTTAAAGACAGAAATTACTGGTGAGCGCTTTATTAGGGGAATCACTAAATTTTCCCACAACCTAGGTAGTAAGTTCCCTGCAAGGACATGTACATTCGAGTTCCAGTTCAAAAACTCCTCACTGGACTAAATCATCAAGTAAAAAGGAGGAGGAGGAGAGGGAGGAGGAAAGAAAATTCAGTTTTAGTTGAGGTTAGGAGAAGATAAAGAGAAGAACTGCCCATCTCAGTAGCTGGATTAAGTGACAAGACTCACTTCACTAAATTTAACCACTCTTAGTTAATGAACTGTCCTAATCACAAGTTGTGAAGCCTGAGCAAGGCAGACATATACCCAGGAAACACCCAGCAGAGGAAAGCCCAAAAGAATGACTTTCCCAATACTGTGAGTCTAACTCTGGGAGACTCTTTATGATTTTGTATAATAGCAAATTGAGGCAAAGTACCAAGACAGCCTCTGATGACTGGGGGCAGGATTTCTCAAAGATCCAGGAGTCACTTGCACCAAAATCACCTGGGGACCTTGCTCAAATGTGCCAACATAAGGGGTAAGGGGGTGGTTAAAATGCAGATTCCTGGCCCCTTTTCAGGTCTATTGAACCAAAATCTCTGAAGATAAAGCCCAGTAATCTATATTGCTAGAAGTGTTCAGAACATTCTTAGGCACACTAAAGGCTGAGAACCTCTGATCTAATGACTATTTATTTTAGAGTATATAATTCAGAATGGTTAAACAGTTTTTATCATATTACGAACTAGTTATAAGGTTATCTACTTGATTGATAGACTCAATTTATTAAGAAATTTATTTTTTGTCAACCATATTTTAATTAACAAGAAAATAGTTCTACTTAGGAGAATTCTATGCAGCTTGGTTCTATAAAATGCTTCTTGACATAAGAAATAATTACAATATTTTAATATTTTGCTAAAAGCATATAGAGTAGACATCATTTTTAAAAAATGTATCTTTTTTAATGATTAGAAAAGATGGACAAAAAACTGCTGACTCAGTTTACCCATTTGCTGAAAGATTTTACCTAAAAGGGTGTTTGCTGTGTTCTATAACAGCTCTGAAGGATACACCCCCACCCTAGATCAGGTAATAAAGAAGAGGAGAGAGACCTGGGTGATGAAGTACCCCATCTCTACATGAGCCAGTAAAAAACAAACCTGCAGTATTCATTTTCACATACAACACATGTATAAATATGGAGAGGTAGAGACCAACAACCTGCAAGCCAATTACTCACTCTCCAAAAGTATACATTAACCTACGCAAAAGTTAAACTCTACAGAGGTTTCATAGGTTATAGATGATAGATTGACAGCTAAGATAGATAGAAATATCTAAGAGCTACCCATCTCTCTTTTTTTAAAGATATTTATTTATTTGAGAGAGAGAGTTAGAGAGAGCATGAGAGGGGAGAGGGTCAGAGGGAGAAGCAGACTCCCTGCTGAGCAGGGAGCCCAATGTGGGACTCGAAACTGGGACTCCAGGATCATGACCTGAGCTAAAGGCAGTCACTCAACCAACTGAGCCACCCAGGCACCTGACCCATTTCTTTTCAAACAGAGAGACATGTACTCAGGTTATAGGAACATGAATTTGCACGCTCTGAGAGTCTTCTGTACTCAGCAATGAATAATTTCTAAGATGGTCTATCAGAGTGACTTTGGATGTGATTCGGGCTCAAGACCGGTCTTACACACTTAGAAGTTTGCCTAAGCAAGTATCCTAAACCTTCTCAAGGTTCACTGCCATTGTCTGTAAAATGGGGCAATTATAGTATCTTTCTCAGAGTTGTTATAAGGATTAAATGAGAAAATATATGGAAAAATGCTTAACACCAGCTTATACTAGACACTCGCACTCGATAAATGTTAGCTATCATTATTAACTATTAGAACTTTCTGGGGCAGATAGGTAGGCAGTTGGAAAAGTATGTGGGTGACCAAGAAAGAGACATGATATAAACAGCTATAAATACAACCACACTATAACCTTAACTTACCTCACTGTGTGTTATTCCCATGATAAAAATAAATTCCTTCCCATGTGATAAACAATGTACCTTCCCAATATCTCTTTGCTGCAGCATTCTACATTTTTTTGTACTTACAATATGATACTTTTAAGAAATTCAAGTTTGAGAAATACATATTAAAAATCCCTACAATGCCTGTGAGCCAAAAAGCACAACAGAACATAAAAATGTAAGTCATGCTGAAAAGGTCAAATAGCAAATCAGTTGCTAAGTGTATGTGCAAAAGGACCACAGAACACAGGAAATTATATACTTTAAGCTCAGTTATACCACTTTGGAGATTTCTTTCTGAACATTTCAAACAAAGTTCCTGTAGGCTTACAACCTTAACCATTATGAAATCCTGGGAAGATAGTTAACTCCTAATTATTTTTAAAAAGACCCCCATCCCAACTTTACCATGTGGCCCATAGGAGTTCCCCATGTTGTATGCTGTTCCATCTGGGTCATAATGAGGATGTGCAGTTGCTCCATTCACAGCAATAAATTTGCTCCAGTCTACCTGTAAATTTAAGACAATCAGGGACTTTTAAATGTTACACAGGCAGATCTCTACTTAGACGCAGAGACAGTAGGAATGTGTCAAATATTTTAAAAATAGAATAGGAAATCTATAGTATAAGTCCAATCTTACTTCTGAGAAATCAAAATTATTTTTCCTACTAAAGAAACTGAGACTAAATAATAAACAAAAACTCCACCACCAGCAACAACAAATGGACAGAAACGATTATCCAATAAGGATTTTTTTCCCCAAGATCACAGGAAAGTACTAAAAATAAGAGTTAAAATTAAAATTCTGGTCCAAAATTTTATTTATTTTTAATTAATGTGGTAAGTGAAAGCAGTATGGGTCTAGACAATCTCTAGTCCAATTCTACCTGTAGCTAGGAAGAACATGAAATGACCAAAGTAAATCTATACTATTCTATTTCTCCTTTACCATAGCCTTCAGATATTAGGACTAAGGAAAAAGAAGTCTAGAATTGTCTTTTTTAAGATTTTATTTATTTTAGGGGGGCAGAGGGAGAGAGAGAATCCTGAAGCAGACTCCCCACTGAGCACTAAGACAGTTGCAGGGCTTGATCCCAGGACACCAAGATCAGGACCTGAGTCGAAATCAAGAGTCAGCCACTCAACTTCCTGAGACACCCAGGCACCCCTCCAATTTCTTCTTCAGATATCTACTACTCTAAAAAGTATGTTGAAAGGAAAGACATTTTAGGGTCCATTTTATTCATTTTTTAGCCTATATTTTACCTTTTCTGTTTTTTCCAGAGTTTTAATGTCCACTTTATTCATAAAGTTGGTCTCAGTGCTAACATAGTAGTCACCCTTGTACCGCACATAGTTGACATTGGTATTGTCGGTTATTGCTGAAACTAAACCCCAGAGTTAAACACCACAATGTACTGTAGCACACAATCAGAGCAACAAAACAGCTTAAACATCCTCTCATACCAAAAAAACAAAAAATCTATTTCAAAATATATATTTATATAGATTCACACATATCATAATTAAAGAATCATCACTATCACCCAGAAATTCTGGGTACAGTAAAGGCTGCTTACCAGGCAGCTCAAACTTTGACATGAAACGTTCAAAAACATTCTTGCATGGATCAGGGAGAGCCAGCGTGCCAAATTCTGAGATGACAATTCGGTCATGAACACTATTGGCCTTATATGTATCACTCTGCAGGAACTTGCTTCTATAGGTCACCGTGCCCTTCTCTATCCTGAACTGGTGAAGCAAAGCCATTCCATCAAACCAGTGATTGTACCTTCAAACAGGAGCAAAAAGAGAAAAACAAATATCAGTAAGAAAAATACGGGGTAAAAACAAGAGCCTTCAAATATAGAGATAAGGAATCGGAATGGGTTCCCAGCACAACTTGATTATTCAGAAAAGTTGAAATTAAGGGATGATACCTTTTGAGTATATCCTGGAGTACAATAGAAAAGAGTGACCTACATTCTCCTGACCACTACCCCATCAAAAAACTCACACTTAGAAGGCTAAAAAAAACCTCCAAATTGGTGATTCCTAAGATAATTCTGATTTTTACCCTATAGCCAAGAGAATAGCATGCAAGGATATGGAATATTTGACATTTTCTCAATTAAAATGGATTCCTAAGCTTTTAGAAATAGTTATCTTCATATCTTATATTTTCCCTTTACTTTAAAATTTTTCAATTTATCAGAATTATGCTAAAGTAAACAAATAAGATAATTGTACTTACTGGATAATCATTTTTATACATATGATTACAGTAGAAATGATCTATTTAAATGATGGAACATCAAAAAACTATAAAGAAAAGTTGGTGGCTTTGCTTTTTAAAGGGCTTCACATCATACAGTCTTTTTATTCATGTGCTTGATAGACTGAATGCTTAATGTCTTCAGCACGGATAAGCAAAGCTAACACCATTGCCTTAAGGCAGTGGTCCTGAAAGCAGGGAATCAAAGAGGTATTCGTACACCTGTGTTTATAGCAGCATTATTTACAATAACCAAAAAATAAGCCAACCAGTGTCCATTAAAAAGGAAGGAAATTCTGTCACATGATACAACATAGAAGAATTTTGAGGACATAGTTATAAATGAAATAATCCAGTCTCTCTCTCACACACACAAGGTATAGTTTCAGTTTTGTAGGAGGAAAAAGTTCTGAAGATCTGTTTCACAATGTGATAAACTTAACACTAACTTTTACCCCTAAAAATGGCTAAGATGGTAAATTTTATGTTATGGGTTTTTTTTTTTAAGATTTTATTATTTATTTATTTATTTACTTATTTATTTATTTGAGAAAGAGAGAGACAGCATGAGTGGGGTGAGGGGCAGAGGGAGAAGCAGCAGCAGACTGTGCTGAGCACGGAGCCCAAAGCAAGGCTTGGTACCAGAACCCTAAAATCATGACCTGAGCCAAAGTCAGATGCTTAACAGACTGAGCCACCCAAGCACTTCTATATTGTTTTTTTTTACCACAATAAAAAAAAATGCAGGAAATAAAGTAAAAAAAAAAAAAAGAGTCTCTTTACCAAGTGATTTGAGATGCCATCTTTATTATTAACTTAATTTCCAATCGTTCTTGGGTTTATTTCTTGGCTTTCTATTCTATATCACTTATCTATTTATTCATGCACTGATATCACAATGTGTTAATTATTGACACTTTATAGTATTTTTTTAAGATTTAAGTTCTATTTATTTGAGAGAGAAGCATGAACAGGAGGGGCAGAGGGAGAGGTAGAGAGAGAATCTCAGCCTCTGCACTGAGTACAGAGCCCAATGCGGGCCTCAGTCTCATAACCCTGAGATCATGACCTGAGCCGAAACCAAGAGTCAGATGCTTAACTAACTGTGCCATCCAGGCGCCCTATAGTATCTTTTAATGTCTAGAAGGGCTACTCCTTTCACTGAAAAATCTTTAGTGTTTTCTTGTCTATTCTTGCATATTTATTTTTCCACATAAACTTTATATTGATTTGTCTAACTTCTTTTAAAAACTTGTTAGAATTTTTATTAAGATTGCGTCAAATTTTAAAATTAACCTAAGGAGTACAGACATCTTTATGTTGTTGAAATATCTTATTCAAGAACACAGGATGTTTTTTCATTTGTTTAATTGTGTCTTTCAGGAGTGTTGTAAAGTTTGCACATTTCTTGTTAAGTTCCTAAATATTTAATCTCCTTTGTTGCTACTGTAAAGGTTTTTTCCTATTATGTTCCCTAACTGGTTATTGTTTGTGTCTATGAAGGCTATTGATTTTGGTAGGTTAATTTTACATCTAGTTACCTTACCTTTTATTGTTTGAGTTAGTCTTGTCATTGATTTTTGTGGTTTTCCAGATTTACTAAAATATCATCCACAGAGATAGTTGTACTCTACTAATCCTTGTGCCTCTAATCAATTTCTTTAGTCTAACTGTATTGGTTACATCTAGTTGAAAAGCAGTGGAATAGTGGCCATTTTCTCCTTGCTCCTGTCTTAAAGAAAATACTTGTAATCTTTCCCAATTTAATATTACGGGTTTTAAGACTAGGATTAAAACATATTATGTTTGTGTATATACATACATCTATATAAATACATACATGTGTGTATATATACATATACACACACATATATTTGATATACATATATTGTATATACATATACATATGGATTATGTATACATATATATGTGTGTATATATATATAAAATCATGTTAAGAAAGTATCCATCAAGTCCTGTTTTATGAATATTTTTATGAGGAATGGATGTTGACTTCTGACAAAAGTTTTGTCAGCATTTATGGAGATAATCCTATGATTATTTATGCTAAAACCTATTAATATGGCATATGATAGGGGCTCCTGGGTGGCTCAGTCATTAAGCGTCTGCCTTCGGTCAGGTCATGATCCCAGGGTCCTGGGATCGAGCCCCGCGTCAGGCTCCCTGCTCGGCGGGAAGCCTGCTTCTCCCTCTCCCACTCCCCCTGCTTGTGTTGCCTCTCTCACTGTCTCTCTCTCTGTCAAATAAATAAATAAAAGCTTTTTTAAAAAAATATGGTATATGGTATTAATAGATTTCCAAATAATGCACTTACTTTGCCTCATCATAGTGAACTATATTTTTATGTAGTATTGGATTCCATTTGTTAATAAAATATTTGTCTTATATTGGCACTATATATTTTATATTTTTTCATGGATATTCATAAATAATATGAATAAGTAATAGTTTTCTGTACTGTCTGTATCATGTGTAGTTAATATTATACTTGTTTCATAAAAAGAAATGGAAAGTTTCCCTTCATTTTCAATTCTCTTTAATAATGTATCAGGACTATTTGATATTTGAAGGCTTGGTAGCATTTCTCTGTGAAGAAATCTGGGCCTGGTGTTTTTTTGAGAGGTGGATACTTAATAAGTATCTCTTTTTCCTCTACAGAAATTGTTCTGTTCACACCTGCTATCTCTATCAATTGTGGTAATCTGTGTTTTCCCAGGAAACCATGCACTTCACAAGATTCTCAAATGTATTTGCTGGGAGGCCTGAAAAGACTCCTGTACACTTTTATCTGTTTTGATGGTTTCCTTTCCCCCTGCCATTTCTTGTTTGGCACATTTGTGCTTCCTCCCTTTTTCTTCTTGATTGTGTTAGTTCGTGCTTTCTTTGTTTGGGTAATTTTTTTCAAAAAACACTAAAAAGAAAATAATTTCAATAATTATTGCTATTCTAATCTAAACACCTCCAAAAACACAATACACAGTCCCAAACACAATACTCCAGGTGTAACAGCAGACATTCAGTTTCTTCATTTAAGAAACTTCATATTCTTTTCTTTCCTTATTTTTTTTTGTTACCACCTCATAGTATTGACTCACACTGAGCTGTCAACCAAAACCCCCAAGTAATTTTTAACACATTTTGTTGTTAAAGCACATCACTTTCATCCTTGTGCTTGTAAAATTTCTCTTCCTCTACATACACCTTTAATGATATTCCACTTGTTAGATTCCATCTCATAAGATCCTTCTAGACCCTATCATTCCATGCATTCATTTACTCAAACCAACCAACTTTTCTTGAGCCCCTACTATTCTGCCAGGCTTGTGCCAAGACCAGTGCTTACAGGCACATAACTAACTATGTCATAAAGTTGTTCTCTGAGACAACTGACAAGTGTTAAAAAAACACTATCTGTGCACAGAAGGAGCAACAGGATGGAAGGATGTGGGGCTCAGGGAAGGGTCTAGAGGAAAGGAGACATTTGTCTAGTTCCCTAAGGATGTTTGCCAGTTGGAGAAGGGGAGAAGGGCATCCTAGGGAGAGGTGGTGAAAGAAGAAAGAAAGAAAGAGAGAGAGAGAAAGAAGAAAGAGAGAGAAAGAAAGAAGAAAGAGAGAAAGAGAGAAAGAAAGGAAGAAAGGAAGAAAGAAAGAAAGAAAGAAAGAAAGAAAGAAAGAAAAAGAAAGAAAAGGAGGAAAAGGAAAGTGAGGGAGGGAGGGATGGAGGGAAAGAGGGAGGGAGGAAGGAAGGAAGGAAGGGGGAAGGAAGGAAGGAAGAGCAGTGAAGGCATATGGCATCCTGGAGGAACAGCCAGCTAACAAATTCGTGTGTGGGCAGAGCCTTCAGTGGCCGGCGATGGGGAAATAGGTCAGCACGAGACCTATCTGCACTTAGACCTACAGCTCAAAGACCTGCAACAGCAACATGTGGAGTTTTGAAACAGGAGGGTGAAACAGTGAGACCTGCATCTTAGAAAGGTCACTCTGGACACACAGTAGAACACGGGATAGAACGAGGAGCATCCAGATTCCGAGAAACCAATGAGGAGACCAGGCAATAATTCAAGTGAGAGAGTATGAGAACCTGAAATGAAACGGTAATTAGAAAATTCCAGAAACAAGTCAGGTGACTGATAGGATAAAAGCAGTGACAAAAAGAAGGTCCAAAAAGTTATACCTGAGGGATAATCTGCTTTCACTGAGATGGAGAAAATGTGAAGAGCAAACAGTTCAGTTTTGAACAAGAGTCTGAGCTATTTGAAGCCATCAGAGTAAAGATGTTCTATAGCCAGTTGGCAAAATACAGGTGCTAGAGCACAGGATGTTTGAGAGTATCTGTGGGTGACAGGCACAGGCCAGGTGCAAATAAGACAGTAACTACCATCTACTGAGTGCTTACTACCTGCCAGGACTGTGCTAAGCACTTTACCACATCCTTTCCTATGCATATATAAAAAATAAACATATAATATATTTTAATTTATATATAAATATAAAAT